TTAGAACTCTTCTTCAGCCTTGCTGTTTAGCAAATCAAAAACAAGAAGAGGGAATCAAACAAATCACCTGCAACTTTGATCTGAGTGCATCAGTGGCTTTCAAAGAATCACTCTTAACTGCATTGCCAAGCAACAGATACTGACTGAAACATTTGAGGTGAACTGGGACACTTGCCATTTGAAAGTAGACCACAGTGCAAGGAATCAAGTTTTGATTTAATTAAATTCAAAGTTAATCTTAACCCTGTGTTTCAGTCACAATACCCACCCTGCCCAAGGTGGCTAACAACTTAAAAAAGGAAACAAAAATGTTTTAAAAGTCTATGTTTTAAGTGGCTCAGATTTGGTCCAAATTGCAGTTTACAGATATTTAAACAAATTTTACTTTTTTAAAAGAAAACAAACACAAATATTGAATATAGCTTAAAAAACCCCATTGCATTACATTGACAGCAGCAGGAGCCCAGTATCTGTTTGCTCTTCCCCAAAAGGACCTCATATACAGCTAGGGTTCTGCAACTCAATAATAAAACTACATAATGACTGGGGGCAAGTTCAAACTGTACCTCAGCCCCAAACACGTCAGCTGGCTGCTGGCAAGTCACTACTTGTAAACCTCAGTTCTCAATCCCACATCTGCAGCATGGGGGTCATAAGTGCCAACCTTACAGGGGCGTTGTAATTCTTGTAAATACCTGTGAAGTGTTTGGAATGCTTATCGTTACCAAAATACTGGAGAAAGAGTATATTCCAGGGATATGATAGCATTCCAACTCCCTTCATGTATACTTGCACACCAGTCTCCCTCTTGCTCATAGGTATGTCCTGGAGCACTGAGCAATCCTGGTAACTGCCATGCACATTTGCAAAACACCACAGCTAAATTATGCAAGCAATGCCACATTCTTTGTTTCCTACTCAAATGACTTTGTCCACCTATGGCTCAGAAGTGGGCACTTTTGAGTTTTGCCAGCTATTGAAGTGCGACTTTAAGGCCAGTTTTTTAATACAAAAAAAAACCCATTTGGATGTAGACTTTGCCCTGCAGTTTACAATATGGCTTGTGTTTTCCTTCTCATGATCTCCCTTCTCCTAGTTCCATGCTGTGCTATCTATTCTTATTATTAATCTCAGCTCATAGCAGTTGGGGGAGAAAGCCAGTGCCTGAGCCGGCTTGCTGCAGTGGGTGAGCCAGGCATGTGAAACGGCCAGCACAGACTGGATTTAGCCCAGACTTGGGTTTTGGCCTTCTGCCATGAGTCCACGTTTAGGGGTGTTTTGTGTTGGAATGCCAAAGCCTGCCTTGGCATGAATTTATGCTGCTGGAAACAGCATAGGCTGGGATTTTTCTAGTCCTACCAGTCCTACCAGTAGTTTGAACCCCTGTGCAGACATGCATGGGGGAATCATGGGAAAGGGTTGTGATTATGCCTGCCAATGCCATTCTCCCTGCCCACTGAAAGTCCACCCTTGTCTGCATAGGAGAGCATGCACAGGCAGACTCCCAGACTGTGTGCAGGCCAAAATGATGCGCTCTATGTACCAAAAACCACAATATACTTAGGTTGTGCGGTTTGTGTTAAGACATAAGGCACGGCGGCCCCTGTGACTACATAATGCCCAGTATGTAAACATCAGGCATGCTGAAGAAGCAGAATTATTATTTTAGTTAGTGTAATTACCTGCTCTTCACCCTAAAGTCTGAAGGCAGGTTACAACCATTTAAAGCACAACATTCAAAAGCAGTTATAAAAACCAGCAATTGCAAAAAAGCAATCACAAAACAGATAATATAAAGGTAAAGAGGTGTGTCTTCTTTTTTTAAAGGCACCACTTAGTGTAATTTTAGTTTGGCTTTGTGCATTTCTATGCCACCTTTCTTCTCTCATGGACCCCAGGGTGGTTCCCAGGTGCTTGCCCATCCAGAAACTAACCAGACCCAGACCTGCTTAGCTTCAACAAAGTGGTCACCCTGTGTGTCTTCACACCATACCCCAGAGCCATTCCCAAGAATCAGTTGGTTGGTGTTCATGACATCACCAGTGACAAGTGACACGCTCGCCTGCATAAGCTGGTGCAGTTATGAAACTTATACTTTAAATATTCTTATGGGGCTATGCCATCTTCAGTGTGGGCTTTTTAAAAAAAATATTTTTTGTCTTCAAAGATGGTATACTTAGAAATCCCTGTTTGTGTAAAAGATGCTGCGCTCATTTGCTTGGTTTGCTATTATTGCGTCATACATAGCGTCATACATTTCTAGGTTTTCCCCAGTCCTATCAGGCTGACAAGCTTTTTTTGGAGGGGGGGTTCAGCTCTATTTTGGAATGAAGCTTTTAAGTATGGCAGTTATGGAAGGTGTCAAAGACATTCCAGAGCTATTTGTGGCCTCGAATCAACCAGATGTGTTTAGGCTTGGTACGGGTGTCAAGTTTCAGACATTGGATTTGAAACTGCTTGAAATACCAGTGGAAATAATGGTGTCATGCAGCTGAAGGGAACTTCAGCATTCAGTGAATGGCTGACAACTCGCAGAGAACTTCTCCCAAAATTACCAGTGAGGAACAATTCTGCTCATGTAGCAAATCTCAGTAGCTGCTGATAGGGAACTAAATCTTTCTCTCACTAAAGTTTAATGGGAATTTTTCCTGACTAAGGGCTTCAACATTGAGTTCTTAGAAATGTAGTTCCTTCGGTCCTCACAATTAGTTTCTGTGCACATGGTCAGTGAGGCAGTGATTCCTCTACTATGTAATTCAGCAGCAACACTCCCCTTCACATTGTCTCATGTCTTTATTAATATTTGTACTACCTTTGATTATTGAGTTCATCCATTTTGAGCAGTTCAAACAGAAAGCTCCAAAGAACTGACTATTTCATTTCTGACACATTTGAGACCCTGGAGCCTCTTGGGACGGGAAGGCATTTCAAGGATAATCTAATCTAGTATCTCTCAGAATTTACCATAGTTAAACCAGTATATAAAAGGCTTTGTGCTTGCCACAGTGTTTCAGAAAACTATTCATAATTATCAAAAAGCTGGGAGTGCAACATTTTCCAAGGAGAGCTCAACCATAGAAGTGTCATTAGTTCACTTAGTGTGGGTTTCTTCAAGGGTTACCCACCCAGGTTCTGAATGACATGGGGGTAGCACCCCTGATATTTAGTGGTACCAATTCAGATGATTTTGGATGACTTGTGTGATGGAGGAAAGGATAGAAGCTTGAGTAAAAAAGAAGGTAATTCACTGTTCCCATACTAGGATTTCCATTTAATTGTAAAAACCAGCCATGCTCATATAAATGTTCAACTTAGATTAGCTTCCCCCACCCAAACCAATAATATTGACTGATAATTGATTGATAAATAAACTATCATATTAAAATAAAATAATATTGACTGGCTGATTGATTGATAAAATTCTTTATTTAAAAAGTTGCTACAATTAATTTAGGTGCAGTTTTCCTATGTTTTCAGGGTATTTCGGAAAACAAGGGCTTTCCAGAGTTTGACTGAGGCTTAACATTCAGAAATTCCTGAAAGCTGATATTGTTAAAGCCGAATAATTTTCTTGATATGAGGCATGGAGAAACCCCTAAAATCACGAGCTACGTGATGAAACAGAACTGGAGAAAGTGAATCATTAAGTAACCATAACCTTGTTTATAGTCAGATGCCCTTAATTCAATAAAGGACAAAAAAGAAGCACAAAACCTAAGTGGGAGAGTCTGTAGAATTGTAAATAAATAGGATATTTATCAAACTTTATTGCAGGCATCAGCTGCTCTTCGACATGGTCAGTTTTCTACTGATACTCCACGTTACTTTTTCTTTATTGTTCTCAGGTTGAAAAAAGCAATATACAGAATATATCATAAAGTGAAAGCTATTAAAAATAGAGCTCTTGTTTATTTGGGGGCTTTTCATGCAGGCAATTTTTTCCACTATTAATGCACAATTGCTCCACTCCTACTGCAGGAAATATAGAACTCTCCCCTCAAGAGTATCAGTTGTATCCAACTTATACGCAGAGTAGACACATTAAAATCAATGTTTTTGATTAGCTTAATTCCATTAATTTCAACAGCTCTTGTCTGAGTGAGTTAAATACAACCCTAATTTATTTGAGAGTATCCCACCCCCTCCAAAATCTTTATTTTTACTCCTTTAGAAGCTTGGTGTCCCATGAAGCCGATTAGAAAAAGTAAACGTACCGAAGTCTATCTGGGATCCCTACTCTTACACAGCCCCATAATGCAAGGTTTCTCCCCCTCCGCTTTTTAAATTTAGGCAGTGCACACCTCTCCCCTGGAACAAGGGTACATTTCCACCCCCACGCTGTGCATGAGTGGGAACAACATACTATGCCACTAGCATAACCCAGTCTGCTTCCTTTATTTTAATATTTCAGATTTTAAAACTTTCTAATTCTTTTACTTATGGAGATAAGTAAATGCCCCCCCCCCAAGTTGTAGTGATGGCTACCAACTTGGATGGCTTTGAAAGAGGATTAAACACATTTCTGGAGGATATAAGTGCCAGTGGCTACTAGCCATCGTGACTA